GACACAAGGGTATTTCTGGCCAAACATGTCAAGAGATGCGGAGGAGTTCTCTCGAAGGTGCGATAAGTGCCAACGATATGGACCATTGATCCACCAACCACCTGAGGAATTGCACGTAATGGCCTCGCCGTGGCCTTTCGCGCAATGGGGGATGGATGTGGTCGGTCCTCTGCCAACTGCAAGAGCTCAGAACAAGTATGTGTTACTGGCCACGGATTATTTCACTAAATGGGTGGAGGCAGAACCGTATCCTAGCGTGACTCAGACTCAGGTGAGACGATTTATCTGGAACAACATTATCTGCCGCTTCGGTGTTCCCAGAACAATAGTCATGGACAATGGCACAAACCTCGACAGCAGGCAAGTAAGAAAGCTGCTGGAGGAGTATGGAATCAACCAGAAGTTGGCTGCAGTAAGTCATCCTCAGGCCAACGGACAAGCAGAAATCACAAACAGAACCATTTTCGCCTGCATTAAAAAGAAGCTGGAAGATCATAAGGGGAAGTGGTTGGATGAACTCCCGAACGTTCTATGGGCTTACAGAACCACCCCAAGGCGGCCGACTGGGGAGAGCCCGTTCGCAATGGCGTATGGTACCGAAGCAGTTATACCGGTTGAGCATTTAGTCCCCACTATCAGAAGCTTAGCATGGAGTCGGGATCAGAACGACAAGATGTTAAGATTGAACCTCGACATGATAGACGAAAGGAGAGACGCAGCGGCTATAAGGCTAGCATCGTATCAGCAAGTGCTGGCGAACAGTCACAACAAGAGAGTAAAACACAGGGATTTTGCCCCTGGCGATCTGGTTCTGAAAAGAAAGGTGGGGATGGTCAAAAAAATGATGCCACCCTGGGAAGGCCCATACAGAATTGCGGAAGTCATTGGCAAGGGGGCATATACGTTGGAAACCATGGCGGGAAGGTTGGTCAGCAAGCCCTGGAACGCCACGTCTCTGAAGAGGTACTACCAATAGAAGCTAAGTTCTGGCTTTAATTGGATGTTATTTGTTGTCAATCAAATACGTATGAATGAGCAAGTTACTGGAATTTACAAAAAAAGAATTTTCTTTTCCAACGGTCTACTATAAAAACTTAAAGCCAAGTGGCAAGTGGCATTCTAGCCGAGCGCCAGGCACTTAAGCAAGGTAAGTGGCAGCTGGCACTATAAGCCGAACGCCAGACACTTGCTAAAAATTTAAAGCCAAGTGGCAAGTGGCATTCTAGCCGAGCGCCAGGCACTTAAGCAAGGTAAGTGGCAGCTGGCACTATAAGCCGAACGCCAGACACTTGCTAAAAATTTAAAGCCAAGTGGCAAGTGGCATTCTAGCCGAGCGCCAGGCACTTAAGCAAGGTAAGTGGCAGCTGGCACTATAAGCCGAACGCCTGACACTTGCTAAAAATTTAAAGCCAAGTGGCAAGTGGCATTCTAGCCGAGCGCCAGGCACTTAAGCAAGGTAAGTGGCAGCTGGCACTATAAGCCGAACGCCAGACACTTGCTAAAAATTTAAAGCCAAGTGGCAAGTGGCATTCTAGCCGAGCGCCAGGCACTTAAGCAAGATAAGTGGCAGCTGGCACTATAAGCCGAACGCCAGACACTTGCTAAAGATTTAAAGCCAAGTGGCAAGTGGCATTCTAGCCGAGCGCCAGGCACTTAAGCAAGATAAGTGGCAGCTGGCACTATAAGCCGAACGCCAGACACTTGCTAAAAATTTAAAGCCAAGTGGCAAGTGGCATTCTAGCCGAGCGCCAGGCACTTAAGCAAGATAAGTGGCAGCTGGCACTATAAGCCGAACGCCAGACACTTGCTAAAAATTTAAAGCCAAGTGGCAAGTGGCATTCTAGCCGAGCGCCAGGCACTTGCCGTAAACAAACACACGGCAAAGCTAATATAAAAGAAAAAGAGAGAAAAGATATGTATGTACTGAAGATAAGTTGAATAGAGCATAACACATAGGGAAAAAGAGTTCTGTCATTTCATTAATATTGAACATTGAGTTTACAAAAGAGAGATGTCCATCATTACAAGAAGATATGAAATAGAAGAATTCGAAGGAGCCCTAGCTAGACGCCTCAGTACCAACAGCATCCTGGTCGTGCCGACTCGCCTCCTCGGCCCCATCAGCCGCCTCACCTTCATGAGGTGGGGAATCAAGGTGAATGACTGAATCGTTCGGCTGGGCTTCAGCGTCAGCAGTGGCTATAGAAGGAACCACGGTTGACGATTGGGGAGCGGTCAGTGGCAGAGCGGTAGGAGGAGCTGTGATGATCCTTGAGGATGCGATGTCCTGGCACTCATCAAATATACGTTCCGCTTCGGTGGGTTCTGGGTCGACATAGACCCCCAGAGGTTCGATCCCCAGATCCTTGTGTACCTCATCCGGAGTGGAGCTGGTCTGTCCCTCATCCGGAACCCGGTCGGCGAAACCTTCCCGGAATCCTTGAGCATACCGAAGAGCACCGACCCTGGAGAACCGAGCGTGAAGGGCCAGCATCCCACCACCCACTCTGCTGATCGCGTCGATCAGAGCGGTACGCTCGTCCAGAGCTCTTTTTTCAAAAGCCATCCGAGCAGACTGTTCATCAGCTAGAAGGCGCTGGAGTTCTGCCTTCTCTTCTCTAATTGATTCCCGCTCAGTCTGCCAGACGCTCTTCTCAAGCTGGAGGGCGTCCTTCTCATCCTGAAGGGAATCATTCTCCTTCTTCAGGACATCTCTCTCTTGCTCGGCTTTGTCAAGCCGAACCAGCACCTCGGTATTCTTCATGGCAAGGAGGTCGTTTTCTTTATTAGCCACCTCCAGGCTGTCAGAATACTTTCGGGCCCTGGCGTTCCCTATCTCCACCTGCTTCTGCATGGCCATCATCCCGAACAATGTCTGCATAGGTGCACAATAAAAACGGTTAAACCAATAGTCAGAACGGGCGAAGGCAAGACCAAGTAATATAAGAGAATTCATGAGTTAGAAAATAAAAGTCACCTCCATAGCAGATTGGGGAAAGCGACTGAACACGTCCTTCTGGGAAAGGCCCTTTGCCGCCTCAAGGTCCTTCGGAGTCCACATGCTCCTGTAGTAGGCCATAGCGGTCTGGCCATCCTTCAGCATGGTCTCGTTCGGTTTCACGAACGTCCCATCCGTTCGGGTATACCGAGGGGCCCATGGCGGTAAGCTGGGGATAGAAGGGGGGCCTGAAGCAGAAGCAGAGCCACCAGCTGCAGGAGGCCCAGAGGGAGAAGGAGCTCTGATCGCTCAGTGCAAGAGAGTACCCGGCCCAGAGACCCGGGTCCTTCTAATGAGAGGCTCCTCCTCAGGATCGATTTCACTGTCAGGATGAGGCCTTTTGCCTCGTTCTTTGTCCCGACCGCCCCCCGCAGCAGCAGGAGCTATGGTAGCTGGGGAGGGCGCGTTCTGGTTGGCAGCAGGGGCGCTGGCAACAGGGTTAGTAGCCACTGCGCTCGGGACAGTGTCAGATATGGTGGCTGAAGAAGAAGCTGACGCTGGAGAGGAGGTCGCCCCAGCAGCAGGAGTGGCTGGGGGAGTATTTTTCCTCCTGCCAAAAGAGGGAATCTGAAGTCTGCTCATGTTGTAGCCGAGTGATGAGAGCGCTAAGAGGTTGTCTGAAGTGAGGAGATCTGAGCAGGAAGGAATATCGTTCAGAACGTATCTCTTCAAGTAGTTACTCCTATCCCTGTAAACACTATAGCTCAAGTCATCACAAGGTATTCCCAAGGAGCGGCATAAGTAAGTGCAAAAACGAGGAACGCATGTTTCACAGGGGCAGTCATGTTTATGGGATTTGAATTTTTTATAGGAGGAGACAGAGCAGACACCAAAGGCGCTCGGGATTGGGTAACCCTCTGCAGCCGGCGAAGACCAAGCCCCACTAATGCCCACTATGCTATCCCTCCAACCCTTTTCAGATTTTATTGTGTCAGTACATATGGACATCTTCTCGAACGGGTAGAGGTGGTAGAAGGGCTCGTTAATACGGATCTTACTCACCTTATAGCACAGAAGGAGGTCTATGAGGTCGAGGTCCAGATTTCTGTCACGCATCAACAAGAGCATAACAGATATGATTCTAAAGAAGTTGGGGTTGACCTGCAGAGGGGATATCCCCAATCTATTGAAGACATAACTAAAGAAAGGGTGCAGAGGGAACCTAACAACATTCAATTGAAGGTTCGTGAATAAGACTTCGCCGGGCAGGAGGCCGGCGCCGGTCGTAATGTTAACGTCTTGGGGGCAAACCCTAACTTCGATGTTGTCAGGAAGTCTAAGTCTCATACGAAGAACATCCAGATCTACAACCATGGTGGAAGTGATAGAAGAATCTACAAGAGGGTAAATGGAAGCCTGCCGAAAGTAAAAAGAACGAAACTAACCTCGGAGGACTGCAAGATCGCTGGAAGAATGACTCTTGAAGAATTTCACCAAGGAAAGCTTAGCACTGTTCTAGAAAAGAGAGAGACTTGGCTGATGATGGAGACGGTAAAGGGAAGTGAAGTGGAATTCTAGAGCATTATAAAGGCGAGGGGGCCCGAGGGCCGAAGCGTCGGGAAGGCGAGAAATCCCTCGAGCCCCGGAACATTGATGCTGGATCTGACCGTCCACTCCCCCACGTGGTTATCTCGAGCCGTCAACATCATGATGAGACGCCATCAATAATTACCCCTTATTAAATAAGGGGCAATTATGGGGGCAGTTGAGGAGGCCCCGGATGACATGGACCAGATCCGACTCGCAAACATAGCATTCAGTCCGTACAGCTGGGCCAGCCCATAGAAGGACACTGCCATATGGGCCGAACGAGAGTAAGCCCATCAAAAGTGACCAAGGCTTACGAAGGAATAGGCCCAGATCCAGCAATTAGTAAATATCTTGTAAATATCTTGTAAATATCTATAAATAGGAGATGGAATGAAATGAAGGGGGATCTTTTTGGGTTGAGGTGTAAGAATTCTAGAGAGAGAAAGTGGAGAAGGAATTTCTTGCATCTTCAGCTATAGTTGCCTTCGATATTGGTATTATTAATTCGTGAATTTGTAACACTTAGAAGTGGATGACACCAAGGATTAATGAAGCTTATTTCCCCATTATGAGCCAAAAAAAAAAAAAATCCTTGATAAAATAATATTCTAACAATCTTTACCACGCATTTTTCATGTCCAACCCTCACTTTGATCACTCAAATCATTGATTTTATGTACTTAATCAGACGATCCAAATTACAGTACGATGACCCACCTTCACTCACAGCTCGTTTTGCCAACTTTGCCATCATATTTGCTCGTTCTTGAAACTCATCTTTTTTAACATCCATCAAATCTCTGATCATCTTCTCAATAATAACTCGGTCACACGTATCTTTCATGTCCAAACCAAGCTTCCAAACTTCACTAACGAACCTACTATTAATCATCTGGTCTGCAAAATAAGGCCAACAAATCATTGGCACGCCAGAGACTATGCTCTCCAAAGTGGAGTTCCACCCACTGTGAGTCAAAAAGCTACCAACAGCTGGGTGGGCCAGAACCTCCTCTTGTGGGGCCCAATCCACCATGTACCCTCTATCCCTCGTGCCGTCAACCAGCTCGGCCGGAATTCGAGTCTCCACATCTTTTCCAACAATGGAGTCCGGCCGCATAACCCACAAGAATCGATACCCACAATTCACAAGACCATACCAAAACTCCATGAGTTGGTCTCTTGTCACAATCGTGATACTTCCAAAGCTCACGTAGATCACAGATTTGGACGGCTGCGAATCAAGCCATGTCACACAGCTTCGATCTTCCTCCCAGAAACTACTCGAATGGGTTGAGGAAAACTTGGTCTCTGCTGCGAGTCTGGCTTTTAGGTGAGCGTGAAGTGGTCCGATGGAGAAGAGATTTGGACAGTGAGTACGTATTTGAGAGAGTACGGGTCCTTCTAGCTCATCAAAAGTGTTCTTTATCAATGCATGGGCTCGAGGGGTTTTTCTGGTCTCTATTTTTATGAATTGCAAATTCTCATTATTTACTTCGTCCACACGGCATAAACTCGGAAGGTCACGTCTCCGGAGAAAATCTTCCATGCCTGGTACACTCTTTACGAGTAGGTCCATGCCATTTCCTGAACAAATAAGAGCAGCGACATAATGTGTGGTGGTTGTTATTGATCATAAAACTAATTAAGCCAAAATAAAATAGAATTCTACATTTGGAATATGATGTTTCTTTGATAAAACATCATGATTTTTTTTAAAAAAGAAAATGATAAAAATCATGATTTTTTTTATTTAATTTTTGTCTCTGAATGGAGTAATCAAAATCAAACTAGGTTATATCTTCATCTCTGTATTCTTAAATGTGAATAAGGCTGTTTAATTAGATGCAATTGTTCTTCAATTTCAAATTGTGGTTACATCTCCTAATTGTTTATCGAATGTGGAAGGGGTAGAATAATAGATGGTGGAAGGAAGACAGTGGGTAGTTGGGGTGATGACCTATGGTGGAAAATAAACTTGATTTTAGTATTTAGTATTTTCTAATATTTTTATATTTATGATGCATATGTGAATCTAAAATATATGTTAGTGGATAATAAATTATGAGAGTTAATGTTATGTAAAATTAAGAATCACGAGAGTTGAGCCTAATAAATACTATGTTAATTGGACTTATGCCTATTGAAAATTATGTTTGTGGGGGAAATGAGAGTTATGGGCATTTATATGTAATTCATAGATATACCAACAGGCCTGGCCTAGCGGTACAAGATTTTTACTTCTTAAAGGGAGGTCAGGAATTCAAATCTCAGTGGAGGCAGTGTGCGTGAGTCCCAAGTAGAAAAAAAAAATGTAATTAATAGATATGTATTCTCAAGCCTATATAATCATACTCTAGTCATTTTAGAATAAGTGAATAAGATGTGATCAAGTGAAATAAAAAATTTCTTCTTCTATTTCTCTTCCAAATAAGATGGAGTTGCATTTTTTTTTTTTTTTTTTTGTCTAAACCACTTATTTTCAACAAAGTGGCATAAGAGCAAAGCCAATAATTTAATATCAGAGCAGAAGTCAACATTTACAACCCCACACAGTTGGATCAAAGTCGACAAACTGATCAAACTAAAAACACAATGTTTGGATCAAATCTTCGATCTCACCAAATATTTTGATACGGAGAGCTTAGACATATGATTATGAGTTTAGAGAGTACTCTAAAGATATCTTAACTATAAAGTCTAAAGATAAAAATCAAAGTGATTGGATTACAGGCAAACTCACCTGGTGTGAGGCCCTAAAGATTGGAAGATGTAGCATTACTGCACATGTATATATTTGTGTGTCAATGTGAATATAAAATTACTATAGCACTAAAGAACAATTAAACTGAATGAACCTACTTTATAAAACCATTTCCTCGTTAACCAAGCAAAAAGACAAAAAATTAACATACCTTTCAAGGGAATTTCATCAGCTTCAATGAGTTCCGGAATACAAAAATAAGCCCAAAAAGTGCAAGCACTGGATGTACGAAAATAAATAAGTGGTATTCCCCTCTCCATAGCAAAATCACCAGCAAAACTGGGGACCCCTTCTGTTATGATGCATGTGACAGGCCGCCTTGTTTGGGTTGCCAAGTAATCGGTGTCTATCATCATTTCTCTGAATAATGGGCCGGTGACAGATACTAGAGAAGGAAAAACCTCTGAATTTAGGTTGAGGTGGGTTAGCCCGCCCAAGTTACAGCCCTAATTTAAAGTTAAGGTAAGAATATTTGTATTTATGACACATCTTTTGGAAGTTAATGCGGGAGTTCATTATGCCTTTAATTCTTTATGTAGTGTTCGTATTTATAATTCAAGGTTCCTTAGACCATACGCTTACGTGGTCCTTACCTAATATTTAGGACGGTAAGTCATGATCCCTCTAAAACACTCTAAGGTCTGTTAAGCCTTTAATGCAAAAATTAAATTCATTCAGCTGGGCAGCATCAATGGTAGTTGAAACATTAATGGCTCTAACTAGAGTATTAACGATGTTGTAAAAGTCGCTAGCTGTCACATCATATGTTCATCATCCATTTTGCTAGACCGATTCTCTTACTTGTCTTAAGCATATTTCGACTTTTCACCCACCAATTTAAAATTATTCTAAGTGTCACATATGGTAGTTGTAGATACACTTGAAAACTCTACATTTATCTCATTTTATATCTTAAAACCTTGGCTCGAGACTATGAGATGTCACATGCTATTTCTTGAGGTTTTGTGGCCCAGTATAGCTCAAAATCTTTCTTTGGGACTCAAGAGTCGCACTCTAGACGTTTGATGATCTAGCATGATGTTAAGAATTTTTTTGGACTCGAATGTCACTCTTTCGAGGCTTGGTGACCTGACATGACTTCAAAGTTTTTTTTAATTTATTATTTTTTATTATTTATTTTGGGAATTGAAAGTCATGTTTTCTAGGGTTTAATGATCTTGCATGCCATTAAATTTCTCTTTTGACCTTTCAAAGAGCCACAATGCTGATTGGATGTCGACGTTGGATAGTGCCAGTGGTTGGCACCTGACACATGTATTTTTTTAAAAGGAAGATGTATGCCACTGGGCACTGACTTTCTATTTATTTTCGGATAATGCTTCAGTTCTGCCCCATCAGGATAGATTGAGTCCTGCACACTAACGTATCCTGATAAGATGTTGACACCTCTTTTAAATTTAAAAAAATACAAAACATGGGTTATACCCATTTTTTAGGTTTAAACCCAACAAATCTATTTTTTTTCCCTCTCTTTGCTTATGTATCTCACTCACATGGTCATCCAAATCTTTGTTTTCCCTTAGCTCCGGCTACAAATCATTCCAAATCATAATATTTCCTACGAGACCTCCACTTTTTAGAATAATAAAAATTCTTTAATTCTGAAATAGTTCCAGCCAATTTTTTAGAATAATAAAAATTCTTTAATTCTGAAATAGTTCCAGCCAATTCTTTAGAATCATATAAAAAAAAACAGTTCCAGACAGTTTTTTAGAATCATATATATATAAAAAAATCTGAAATAGTTTTAAAATTATTCAACTTTGAATGTATCTTTTTTTAATTCTATTTCTAGAGAACAACTCATAGAAAATTGTCTTTCCTACCTTTTTATGATATTTTTAATTTTCTTAAGATAAAAAACTATCCTTAAAAAAATTGAACTAACCATTTGTATTTTTTCCTTTTCAAAATCTACCTCAACTATTTTTTATGGATGCTATATATGAAAGTTATTCCTTTTTTCACTCAATTCTATTCCAAAATGATTGGCGGTTGGAGCTAAGGAAAAAGAAAGATGCTAATGAATATGTGAGTGAGATACACAGATGGGAGCAAAAAGAGAAAAAAAAAATAGATCTGTTGAGTTTAACCCTAAAAAATGGATATAACCCATATTTTGTATCTTTTAAAATTTAAAAGAGGTGCCAACCTCTTATTGGGACATGTTAGTATGCATGACATAATCTATCGGCAGGACTAAAGTATTATCTTTTACTTTATATATAAAATGAGTAATACTTGCATCATCCTCCCTGCTAACGTGGCCTGACACCTGTCCAAAATTTAAAAATAATAAAATCATGGGTAATGCCCATTTGTGCGGGTTAAACCCGTTTATCCCTTCTTTGTTACTCTTCGCCGGAATTTCAGAACCACCACCTCCACCACCACCACCACCATTATCATCTCACTTCTCCACCACCAAGTTAGAAACTCCTCCAAACAATTTGTTTCAAAGTTCGGCCAGACCAGAACTCCTGCCAAACACACGCCATTGTTAGGGCGTTCGAAAAACCTGGTTTGTCCGAAAAGTCAAACCCAGATCTACAATTTCTCAAAAAATAATAATAATTAAAAATTATTACAAACACATATAATTTCCCCCCAATTTTAGAACTAAATACAAATGGTCTATCTCATATCCGTCTTTGGATACTAGGGCTTCTGCGATTAAAGCGTAAAGGATAAAGTCATCTTCTCACGTGAGACATTCCGCGACCATGGACTAACCCATCTTCAACCACCCACCACCTTCACCATCACCGCCACCCACTTCAACCCCTTACCCACCATCGTAAACCCTAAATTCCAAACTGTTGTTTCTATGTTTCCAAGTGGCATTGAAATCACCGGTTGAATCATATTGCTGTTGAATGTAGGATTGTCAATGAGAGTGTTACTTGTTTGACAGAACAAATTATATTTGTGGAGGAAAAAATCCCCCATCAATAGAAATTAGCCATATTATTAAAAAAAATATCATCCCATTATTTCTTTACAAGCCCACCAAAGCCCAGTCTTGATCAAGTCCAAGCAAAGACATCATCGGCCCAAGGCTATTAACATTGACCTCTCGGCCTACTAAAAGACTAATCTGGCCCATTCACATTATGGTCCAGGCCCAGTCCAGATCAATCAAGTCCTGCCTAGGAAAGGATCCTCCATGGAAGGAAACTCTACATAGGAAAAATTCTACATGGAAAGAATTATAGAAGTAAATGATAAGTGCACAAAACTTATTATTTTATACTTAATAATAAATAATTAATTAATATTTTTTACTAGATAAATGTTCTTATCCTGCTTTTCATGTTTTATAGGGGCTGATTTCGGAATAAGAAGAAAAGAGACAAAAATAGCAAAAATGTGATAATACAATATCAATGAAAGTCCAATTCAAATTTGACTTTTCCAACAAATCAGCAAATATCAAGCCAAATTGGAAAAGATATCATTCGAAATTGGTAAGCACATCAAGTCAAAGATATTAAGCCAGATTGGATAGTATATAATTCCTAATTGGAAAGTAGCAAGATTTTAGGAAGATTTTATTTTATTTTATTTTCACTTCTGTAATTAGAATTTTTCCCTCCCGTTCCATTCTAAACTCTATAAATAAGAACATATGTAGAGTAGGTTAAATGTACATTGTTAGTGAGATAAAATAATAAAAGTGAGAAAATTTTTGTCTTTCAAATTATTTCTTATAATTTTTGTTATGAAAATTATTTTTATTTCTTTATTTTGTTTTCTTATTATGCTAGGTTAAACACCCCTCATCAAGAGAGTGACGAAGCCACCATGGCTAAAATATAATTAAATTTAGTTTAATTCTTTTATGAAATTTTCTTTTGAGAGCATTACTCTACTCTTCTATTCTGTGTTCTTATTTTGATAAAAAAATAATAAATAAATAAAATAAATAAATAAAAAAATAAAAATTAGAAAGAGGATGCTTTAGAGAATGCCTATTTCTATTTACCAGAGATATATGTAAAATATGTTCTCAAGCAATTATTATTTCACTCTATTATTTTTCTTTATCTTTTCAAGTTATAATTAGACTGGTGAAGTGATTTGCTTATAATAAGAAAATTTACATAAAGAGAAATATACAAATTTATTTATAGTAAGCTGTAGTGATGGATTTTTTTCCTTGAGATTTTTCTTATTATTTGATCAGAATTTATTTCGTCTTATTTATTTATTTTTAGTTCATTAGTAAAAAATCATTAAATTGTTTTAAAAGTGTTCTTCCTTCAATTTTGGTTTTAATTTTGAGTTCAAATCTTGGATGTGTGTTCGACCCTGCTTATCACTATTTAATTGTTAATTTAGTCTTTGCTGGTATTTTTTATTATTATTTTTGTACGAAGTGTAAAAGAGCAACGACAGAATTCATAAATTTATACTCGTCAAATGGCGCCGTTGCCGCATCAAGTTTGAGAACTCAAAGAACAAAAATTCAGAATTGAAAGTTTTTGGAAGCCCACCCAACTTTCTTCCCCTCCCTTTCATTTTTATTTATTTATTATTGTTATTGCTATTATTATCATTTTTTATTGTTTTGTTTGTTTTTTTGATTAGGTTTTGAAAAAACAAAATAATAAAATAATAATAATAACAAAAATTTGTTTCAGCATGGTTCTTCAATTAATATTTTTTTTACATAAGCTTTAATTTTTTTTTTTTTTTGGTTTTTGTTTCTTCTATTACTTCTCTGTAGCAGAAGCTGGTTATTCCAAAGGCAGAAAGAAACTACGGATTGATTGAGTTGGAGCATAGAAGGTATTGCGTGAACCACCACCCATCACCACTCTTCCATCCACCACCACAAAACCCAACACCCATCATTAACCAATCATTCCCTGAACACCAAAACCAAACCCCCAAGACCCACCACTGTTCACCTCTTCATTGCTGCCGGCGGAATTGCTGATTTTTGTCGCCGAACCTGTGACACCCGTCTCGCCGGTGTAGCGCCGCCATTCAGTCCTCCTTGCTTGCCGAAAATCCTACTGGAATCCTTGGCCGCTGTCCTCCAGGCACATTCACAGCCTCATCATCTTTGTTTCTGCCGGAGTTTTCACTGTTTGCCGCCGTCATCGGAGTGGTGGCTGTCATCGTTGGGAGTCGGCTTGTTTGTGTTACTTTAATTTGGGATTAAATTGTGTTACTATATATATATATATATATATATATATATATATATAGTACCATATTTGGCTTGTTTGGCTCCATACACAGCACTATCCCAATTCTGGAATCTGTACAGCACTGAACCAGTTGTGCATAATCATTCAATAAACTAGTTTTTAAAAAAAAATACATTTTTTTTTAAAAAAAGGTACAGATTGTTGATTCGGATGGAGGA